AGCGTCAGCGCAAAATGTGGCAGCAATATTTTGTTGCTGCCCAAGCGATTCGAGCGCCGCAGCTGCCAATAAAAGCTTATCCACAGCCGAAGTTTGAGCGGGTTGTTGATGCTGCTGTTGGGGCTGAGCTTATTCTGCAGTTGCCTCAACTGTAGTGGACTTTTGGGTGTCTCCAGGAAGGCCACATTCCAAGCCAAACGCTGCTGCTGCTCCGGGCTAAGGCGCTCACTTAGCCGCTTGGTCCATTCTTCGAATTGGGAGCTGGAACCGTTTAGCTGCTGCAAAACCATTGTTGGCAAATTAATCCGTAAACTGGCCTCTGCCTCTGTTCTGGCCAACAGTATTGCCAACAACGACAGCCAGATCTTGACACCCAACCGCCCAACCATCTCAATGCCAACTGCCAGTTACTTCCTCATCAGCTCATATTTATAGAGTGGCAGAGAGTATTACGATTTCACCATCGAGTTGGCGTGTTGATCTCGTACGTATGTATATTATCTTAATTAACAACTTCTTGCCATGCTATATTACAGATTTTAGTTATATTCTGATCAGTGAATTGTCTTTGAATAGCTAGAAACTATAGAAATTTTCTATATAAGTAATTGAATATGTTTTTAGATATTTAGAATTTTAACAGATCTAAATTTTTAAAATGTTCTTTTAAGATTTTATAGTGTTATATATATATAGTAGTACTTAAATTTAATTGATAAATCTGTCAGGGTATACAAGCATTAGCCTGTCATAAAAGCTCTTTAGCATTTTATGCTTATCTTGCTGAGAACCTATCAGTTGAAAGTCGTTGCTCTTTTGACTGGGGCGAATGCACCCATTTACGAATTATGTGAATGTTTAGTTAAATTTCCTCTTGCTTCAAGGTCATATGCCCGACTACAAGCTGGTGACAGCCGTGCCCGTAGTTGTCCTGGACGATGAACAAAAATTGGCCACTGCACCGTCAGCTGCTGAGACGAGCAGCGACATTGGCACAGGGAACGCCTCATCCTTGGCAAGCACCACACGCAATGGTGAGTACCACGTCAAGTCCCATGATTAAAGGCAGCCCAAAATAGATGCAAAGCCTCAAAGCCTTAAATGCCCCGAAATTGATTTTTAAATGATGCGCCCCTCCAAATGCTAAGCAATGTATCTTCATCTATATTTACGCTCTCCGCTTCCTATTCAATTTATGGGCTTCAATCGGGAGCTCGCCTAAGTGCTAGAGATTACCCATAAATTAGATGGCAGCCCGTGCTAATTTTGTAGCGTTATTTAATTGCTGCTCGCACATACATAACATGCCCAACAATCAATTTGCCGTGACTCGAGTATTTCGGCTGCCGGCTGAAAACATTTCCGCATCTGTCAACGCATCATCGAGCACTCGCGATTGTCATCGATACTGGGAAGTGGGCGATGCGTGCATGTAAAAAGCACGCCCTTTAATACCGTATTGACCCGATTTTGCATTGTGCGCCGCCGTTGCTGTAATGCGATCCGGAGCGGCAACTGCGACTGGAACTGGGATGGGTATTATAATTTTTATGCCATGGTCTGGGCAAGTTGTTGACTGCGGTTTCGGTTACGGCCCTAAATCCCATAAGCGACCAAGTGTGACAAAGCGTGGCATTATGTGATCCATTTGACTGCTGCCATCGAGTGATTCGATGATTCGCAATGTATTCCCCAAGCTGAAAGAGTTGTGTGACATGCGCTAAGATGTTGTTGTGGTTTGCTCCCTATAAATCGGATCATTATGCATTAACGATTGGACTTGAAGCAAAATGGAACAACAAATGAATGCAAAAAAACGAAGTAGGAACAACACAATCAAAAAAATCTTTTTTTTCCGCTCTCCATTTTACTCCCCCTTTGGGTAGAGCGTAAAGAAAAGCTTAAACTTTTTTTCAAGAGTTTCTGGTAGGCAACTTTCCAACGAGGATCTGAGATCTAGTGTACGGATGTTGTATTGTCTTAGCCGGATGCCAGTTCTTTTTAAAAGTCAGGTTGATATTTTGTAACTCTATGATTTGCAGTAATAACAATAAAATTATTTTGCCGTGGCCAACAAGTTCAATAGCCATGCCATGGGAAATACTATCACAACATTTGCATAATGCGCTTTGGAGTGTCCGAGCCGAGTCGAGTCGACCCAGAACATGTGCACCACGGGCAGCACCATTGCCAGCAACAATAACAAACAAAGAATTGGAAACGAATGCACGCGGCATACAATAATATCTCACGTACGCACTTCAATTCTCCGATCTAGATCGGCGCATAACGGAGAAGACGCTGCTCGTGGATGGGAAACGGAGCCGATGCCTTGACTGAGTGAAGATCGATAATCGGCCAGCGAAATAAATCAAGTCGAAGGAGGAGAAACATGTAATAAGCGATAATCCAGTATAAATGCGCATGCGTGCAGTGCCAAAAGCAGCGCGAGCAGTGCGAGCATCTGGACAAAACTGCTCCAACTGGAGTAGGGATGAAGATGGAAGATGGTAGATGGAACCCGGCGCAGAGGCCAAATTATAGCGTTTATGTTTTACGTTTTACCGACTGCCAACTGTGCCGACTGCCGACAGCTGGGCGAGAAGAGACTTAAAGATGGGGCGCTTATTGATTTCTCATGCTGCTGCTGCTGCTGTCATAGTTTCTTCTTGTCCAACGGATTCTCGGTTCACAGTGGGAATCGGAGCCAATCATGGCCATAATTTGAGGCCTGATGAAAGCAATTTACAGCTATTGACGTGGCGTTTGTTCAGCCGCTTGACCTTGAGCCCGCAACACCCAGCGTATCTTCATTCGGCCCTCGCCACCAATTAGAATCAATTAAGATTGGCATTAGAATGACACACAGAGAGCGGGCAGATGCCAAAGCCAATTCTCTGAAGCCGAATCGCCTCCGACACGCAAAGCTTCTCAGCTTGTGACACCTGCCAGCTAAGGCCGGGCTTTGTTGCGAATTTGTAAAATAAATGACGGGAAATGCCATTACCGATCAAAGGCAGAGAAGAGCCCAAGAGTTGATGCGGAATCTTGGAGAGAATCGCTAAAGAAACCATTAATAAATTATTATAATAACAATACCGCAATGGGCAACAGAAATACGGAAAATACATTTTGACAGATGAATTGAATTTTAAAATATAGTATAAACTATCTGTAGAAATATCTAAATATTAAGACTAATATTCCCTGACTGCGTCCAACACAAAGGCTGCAGCCAGAAATCTAAGTTTCCTTTTTAAATGACACTTTTTATATTCAATTCTTATAGTTCATATTTTTTGTATGGTTTTCTAAGCTTATAACATAACAGTTTGTAAGTCCAACAAAACTTGTTTAAGCTCTTAGAATTTGCAGCTCCTTCTTCTCAGTTCGCCTCGCTCGGCTTGCATGTCAGCCGGCGAGTTGCAACAAAAGGCAGCTTCGAGCTAGACTCCGGTCGGATCTTGCGGGCACTTGACACCGTCTTGAAAGTTAAGTGGGTGTAGAATTTGTGGCATGTGGCCGGCGGTCGTTTTTGATTCCCGATGAGTGTGCCCCGCGTGGCGGAGGCTGTCATATAATTGATGCCTGCACCATTTGCCATTATTGTTTAACACTCGCCGGCTGCGGCCCATCCCCCAATCCTCGTCAGATGATTGCAAGCGGCTGCGCGTGTTGAAATTTTAATCAAAGGCAAATGTGCCAAGCTGTTGGCAAACGAAAGGCGAAACAAAGTCGGTCAGGCCTGGGTGGAGTTTCAGCTGGAGTTGTTTCAACTGTCAACCCGAATTGAGGCTGGCAACGAGCCAAACGCTGCGCCCACACATTCTCTGGATTAAGCCCCCGCGGCTGGGCTGCGGCTATTAAACATCTTTGGCACGAGCCAGACACGCCGATGCAGATGCAGATGGAGTCCAAGCCGATGTCTCGGTCGTTGTTCGTTGCTCGATGGGATTGACTCGCACTTAAAGTCGTAGATGAAAATAGTTTTTAAAATTTTATTGTGTCCATAATATACCTGGATCCATGTCTTTGCTGTTCCCGAAGAGCTGCATCAACACAACAACAGCAACAAGAAATTTGCTGCAGCTGATTCTTTTGTGCATGTTTTATACTAATTGTTTGGCCAGCTCTCCCTCTCTCTCTCTCTCTCTGCCTCTCTTTCTGCATCGCTCTTCCCCTTTTTTACAAACACCCACAGCCTGTGCCTGTCCAGCTCGCTGCAGCTGTGATAAATATGGGACAAGCGCATAAATTTGTTTATTAACGATCCAAAGCTCGGGCCGTACCTGAAAGTCCGCCTTGAATGGCTTTTTAAGTGTTGGTAATTGATGTTAAACCAGATCATAAAAAACTCTTAAGGCGCTATTAGATTGGACTTGGATGAACCATTTGTAACTGAGCTGTGTCTGAAGTTTAATAACTGTACTAAGCTACGAGCACTGCCCAATTTGTGGAACCGGAAACCCAGTTTAATATGGGTTCCCTGTGTGTAAAAGCAGAATAATGTTAAATCTCGTTCAGATTAAACAATTGATCATTATTTCCAATTGGTGCAGCTTGCAAAACGCATTTAAAGAAAAATGTGAAAAATACCTTTGCAGGACGAATCTTTTTCAATCAATTTATTTACTTTTTCATTATGCCGCAATTAAATTGTTCTTATTTAAAACAGGTACAAAATTCCATTTTCACAAACAGGGCTGTTTCCATTTTAAATATACAGTGCTGCGAAACGCACAGTTTCTAGCCTCTTTTCTCAACACATTCACTTGCAGCAAAAAACAATACCTTACATACATATATTACTTCGATGTTAATTATTATTCCACCGATTACTCATAATGCCTTGTTCGTATCTATTGAATAATAAATATAAAAATATATCAATATCTTATGTGGCAATCTACATGCGCAATTCGAATGCAATATAAACTGCATATTATTGGCATCCTAGTATTTATATTGCCTCTGGTACTACCAAAAACATACACTTAATATGAGGCAGAAGACTTTGAATATTATTTTATTAAGTATATTTTTGTTAACGATTAAAATGTAAATTGCATTAGTTGATTAATTAGCACTTAGATAACAACAAAATACGCCGTCTAACACAAGTCCTCGCCCTCGTCCTCGTGATCTCTAGCATTATTCAGCTCATCGGCACCTACGGATTTCTTTGCTACCTCTAGACCTTTTGGTAATGGAATGTTTTTAGCCAAAATTGCATACTCTACATCCATGTGTCGGATGAATGGAGATGCCAGCATTCGAGCTGCCAGCTCGCCATCTTCCTCGTCGAAAGCTTGCAAAAGCGTCGTCAGCGTGGAGACTTCATCGGGCTCACAGCAAGTGCCCCATTCCTTGAACGACTTTTCTGCCTCGACCGAGTCACCGCGAGCCAACTGCACCAGTACGAGCGCCACAACCAAACGGCCGATTTGTCCAAACGATTCAGTTTGCTGATACAAGCCAATTTCAGTTTTAAGCGACTTTGTCGCCTCTTCGAACCGCTGCAGCTTGACCAATAGTCTCGATACTTTCGAGGAGTATAAGGCTGCTTGCCGGGTTGAATCTTCAATTAGAATGACCTCCACTGCATGCTGATATAGGCGTAGAGCCACATCCGGATGCTGGGCTTCCGTTAATTTGGCCGCTTTTTCCAGCGCAGAGGCGGCAGCTTCTGGTGAGCCATGCTGCTGATAAAGGCTACACGCCCTGTTGGCATATTCCTCGACATCCGTTAGCGTGCCAACATCTTTGCACAGTAAGATAATCTGTTCGTATGACTTTGCTGCATGGAACCAGGATTTGTTGTTTTTGTAGCACTCAATAGCCTTTAACAAGCACTCCTTGCTTTTGTCGAATGATTTCGCAATCTTGTAAGCAGTTGCTGCCTTTGCGTACTCGTCGGCGGCACTGTCATAGTCAGGTACCCATTTCAACAGTGATGTTTTTAAGCTTTTTTCGGCTGTTTGGACTAATTGTTCTGCCTCGGCAATTTTTTTAGCAGCCACAGACATTTTTGCACGCGAAAAATCAATTGTTGTTTATGTGCAAGATGTGACTGTATACTGTAAGTGGAAAAAAGAACTGTGAAAAATACTGAAATACTGGTTGTACATTATACCGATATATCGATAGCTTCTTTGCGATAGTTAAGCTTATAAAGCGCGCTCAAGTGACGTCATACGCATGGGTCAATGAATTTTGAACAGATACGTTAAAAAACACCACTTTTCGTTATTTTCAAAACCCAAACATTTTCTTTCTTCAGATAACAGATTGTTTTGTTTGAGTAGAAAGCGTAAGGTTGCCGCACCAATCACCCTGTCAAGTCTCGTACTGAAATTGCGGTTATTTCAAGTTGCAGCAATCAACACATCTTCAAAGCCGACCTTTGTTGTGGTTGCTTGGCTGGAAAGCGTGTAAGCCGATGCCTTTCACGAACACGTGACAGGCTATCAACCGCAATGCAAAAGCGGCCTGGTTGTCAATGCTAAAAGAACAGACAAGGTCTAGGTCCAGGTCCAAGTCCAAGTCGAGCTTGATTCGCGAGGCTGCGGCGGCTGTCAATGCGGCCATGTCCATGAGGTGTTAAGATTAATTGAAGCATTATAATTAATTTGGAAATAACTTTCTGATTGAGTTCTTCTCTATGCTCTTCCCCTTCCCTCTCTCGTTTGCAGTGTTCACGTGGGGCAAGCGCATGAGCCGCAAACTGGATTTGCTAAAGCGCAGCGAGTCGCCTGCCGCCAACACACACAAGTCGCACACGGATCTGCGCAGCTTGTTTCACTCGCCAACGCACAAGGCTAACAATGCGAAGCCGTCAGCAACGCCTACTGGAGCTTATCAGGGCACTACGCTTAAAAAGTGCAAGTCGGGACCCATTGAAACGATCAAGCAGCGTCACCAGCAGCAGCAGCAGCACCAGCAACAGCAGCAGCAGCAGTTCCAGCTGCAATCGCCACAGGATGCGGCAAGCAGGGGCAGCCAGAGCGCTCAGTCGACGCCCACGCATCAGTATCAGCCAGCGACACGCCCACAAAAGGCGCTGAAGAATTTCTTTCATCGAATTGGCTCCACGGGCATGCTGAATCATCGCTCGCACAATCTGCTGAAGGCTTCCGAAGCGTCGCAGCAGGCAACTCCAAGCAGCCAAACACTGTATCGCAGCAGCTCCACCAGCCAGTTGTCCAGCTGCTCATACATCAAGTGCGACGATCCCACTGAGGGCCTCAATTTGCAGCGACAACATTTACAGCAGCAACAGCAACAGCAGCACTCGCCTCGCATATCTAGCCTCAAGTCCAGCAGTTGCGATGACATTGCCAAGGTGAGCAGCTGCCTGACCGCCAGCAGCAGCAATGGCAGCGCTGCCGGCGACAATGTGGGCTCGCTTGCTCTTCAAGCTGGCGGCGGAAGTAGCACGGCCAGCGGCGGCGGTCAGCAGGATGCTAGCCGTCGTGGCGCCTTTCCTTATGCCTTTTTGCGTTCACGACTCTCGGTGCTTCCCGAGGAGAACGGTGGCTCTGTGCTGCTCAAGCATCAGCAGCAACAGCGCGAACAATTTCAGCGGGAAGCGACCGTGAATCAGACTTCATCGGCTACGTCGCAGACACAATCGCCGTTGCCCCAGCGCCATTCGCCGGAGCAGCAGCTGGTGAATGTGTCTCGCAATGACAGCATTTCATCCAAGGACTGGGAACCACTTTACCAAAGATTAAGTAGTTGTCTGAGTTCAAATGAGTCGGGCTATGACAGCGATGGTGGCGGCGGCGGCGTCGGCGGAGGCACAGCCGGTGCCCGCCTGGGCAATAATCTTAGCATCTCCGCCGGAGATACAGAATCTATTGCCTCAGGCACACTAAAGCGCAATTCGCTCATCTCGCTTAGCTCCTCTGAGGGCGTCGGAATGGGCCTGGGACTGGGCTCGGGCTCCTCTTTGCGCAATAGCATTTGCAGTGCACCCGTCTCGCTGGGCGGCTACAACTATGACTACGAAACGGAGACCATCAGGCGGCGTTTCCGACAGCTCAAGTTGGAGCGAAAATGTCAAGAGGACTACATTGGGCTAGTTCTGTCACCCAAAATGGTCGTCACCAACAACAATGAGCAACAATATCGATATCTGATTGTTGAGCTCGAGCCATACGGCATGGCACAAAAGTAAGTTAGCTTAATTTAATAAATGATCCCATATACTTATCTGCTCTTCCTATTTTTCCTTCCACAGGGATGGTCGTCTGCGGCTGGGCGATGAGATTGTTAATGTGAATGGCAAGCATTTGCGTGGCATTCAGTCGTTTGGCGAGGTGCAACGTCTGCTCAGCTGCTTTGTGGAGAACTGCATTGATCTGGTCATAGCGCACGATGAGATTGCCACTGTCACAGATTTCTATACCAAAATACGCATTGATGGAATGAGCACTCAGCGCCAGAGGCTCAGCTATGCACAGCGCACGGACAGCCTGAACAGTTTACAAAGCCTACAGTTGCAGGTGGAACAGGAGCAGGAGCAGGAGCGTGACCGGGCAGGAGAACGTGAACGAGATGCGGCTGGACTGGAGGAGTGCGAGGATCAGTGCGATGCGCGCTCTTTGGCCAGCGTCAGCACCCTGCCATCGCCTATGCCGCTGATGCAGCATCGTCGCAGCTCCACGCCGCGCCACTCGCTCGACGTGAGCGCACCAGAGCATGAGCTGTTGCGGCGCAGAGCGCGCAGCTCTTCAGGTCAGCGCAGCTTGGCTCTAACACCAACACCGCTCTTTAACAACCAATCAAACAATGACACCTCCTTCTCGACCTCTGTTAACAATAACAATAACGACTCATACACACCTGTGTATGCAAATCGAGCGGCCAGCGTCTGTGTGGGCTCTTCGCTAGCGGACGATGAGAAGTGGCGGCTACTGGCACGAAAGCGCTGCTCGGAAGGGGCTGCACTGTCCTCCGAAACAGGCATCGGTGGCCAGCAGTTCGGCCAGCGAATGCATTATGCCCGCAATTCCATCAATCTAACCAATTCACATTATCGCTCGCTGAGATTCGCACATTCGCGACTCAGTTCGTCGCGACTTAGTTTGTTCATGCAGACGGCGCCGGCGGCAGCATCTAACAGTCTACCTGATGGCAATACAACAACCACAGACACCCCAACAACCAGCACAACAACAACTGATCTCACTAATAATACGCAACACCAGCAACAAAAACAGCAACAAAAACAGCAACAACAACAACAACAATCTCCACAACACCATTCATTATACATCAAGCACTCGCCAAAAAACATTTCATTGTTTGCACCTAATCCGTTTCTTAATTCCTGCTCCACTGCACCATCCTCATCAGCATCAGCAGCAGCAGCCTCATTGACACCTCCCGCCGCATCACTAATGCATCATCGTCCATCGCTGCCAGTGGCCAAGCTAACGATACGCGACGAGGAAATGGCCGAAGTCATACGCGCCTCAATGAGTGAGGGTGAGCTTAACCCAATAACCCATCCACATTAAAACACATTCGAAACTCACTAAACATCCTTATTGGCTTACACTGTCTCTAGGCACTGGGCGCTGCACGCAGAAGACAATTACGTTTTTCAAGGGACCTGGTCTGAAGTCCTTGGGATTCAGCATTGTGGGCGGCCGAGACTCGCCCAAGGGCAACATGGGCATCTTTGTGAAAACAGTTTTCCCCTCGGGACAAGCTGCAGATGATGGCACGCTGCAAGCTGGTAAGTTAAAGCCGCATTTTTACCTGTTTTTCGATTTCAATTTAAAACCTGTTACAGGCGATGAGATTGTGGAAATCAATGGGCACTCCGTGCAGGGCATGAGTCATGCCGAAACTATTGGACTTTTCAAAAATGTGCGCGAGGGCACAATTGCGCTTAAAATCTTAAGACGCAAGTAAGATGATGCTAACTAATAAATAAATCAACCTATTTGAATTTCATATTCTGTTTATCTATTTCAGACTACAAAAGGCAAAATCAATGGGCACATAAGCGAAGCATTGGAGCAAATATATATATATTATCTAAACACTCTACATACATATCGACTATAATTGTTAGCACTATTGTTAATACCTGAACAACAGCACATAATTCGTTTGAACAAGTTAAATGTACATAGAACACTTATATTTAGTACTAGTTATGTTCTGGCACCCAGCATATATGTACCTTTACTAGCATACATAATATATATGTATCACTAAACATAACTCATACAAAACTAGGCTATTTGCATGCTATATTGAAGTAATTTAATGAATCAACCATTTTAAATTAGTTAGATAATCTAAGCTAATCTTCTAAACGTTGTACAATTTTTTGAAAATTAAAATGCCTACCGTAAAATGAGTACCTATATACAGACTTGAAATTCTATTTCGAATCCTTATTATTATTACCTTATTATTTATTAAAAAACAAAATAAATGTGCAGCACGGCGGAAAAGACATTTCCAACTCAAAAATCGCATAGATTTCAAGATATTGGTTGTATTTTAAATATAAATGTTTTGACAGATACTATTAACCTCTACCAAATACTTGATTACATTTTTAACCATCCGGTTTACTCAAAACCGTCTCCGTTCCTGCCTCGCTTGTTAGAAGCAGTCGTTGTTTTTTTACAAAATGCTCAATTCGATTTTCCAGGCTCTCTGAAAAAGCATATACATAAATGTTTATAAATTAATCAGACTTAAGTTTTAAAGTCAGGCACTAACCACATCGCTTGCGCTGCAGAAGCGGCTGATACTGACGCGGCTTGACCGCATCCTGCAACAATATTGCTTGTGCTTGGATCTGTTGTGCCTTGTAGTTGCGTTCAAGGAGGTCCTCCAGTTGCAGCAGTACGTTGCGTATCATGGTGCACTTGACGCTGAACTGAGTCCACTCGCACTGCACGTTCTCGATGAGCTTTTGTAGATTCTCCTCACTGTAAACCCAATCGGTTAGATCACTTTCAGTACCCTCGACGTTTTCAGGCTTTACGGCGGCGAGATCCACGTCATCATCAAGGTCATCAATAGCAGCTGAGGATGACGCTGACGGATTTACTTGACGTGTGGATTGTGCCCGAAATTCACAGCGAAATAGGTTCAATGGCAAGCCAATCGCTGGCGTGTACTGTGGCTTACAAGGATTGCTGACGACATCTAGCAATTTACTGATGACGCACGGCTGCTCATGCTTCTGCCCAACCAGCAGCAGCACAGCCATGATGCAGCGTATCTGATGCCACAGGAAAGCATTGCCTTGTATCTCCAAGTAGTACATTGCGTAGCCTGTTGAATTAAAGTTTTAAATATATTGATTGAATTAAAATGTGTGTATGTAATTATATATGTATTTATGTATTTATGTATGAATGTGTGTGCGTGTGTGTATGTATGTATGTATGTACGTATATATGTATGTATGCATGTAAAATGTATTCTATACCAGCAGACTAATTTGTCTTGTTGAGCGGCAAATTTAAATAAAGCTGCCCTCCTCCTCGATTCTCAAAAATTTAAGTAAGGCTTGCAGGCTTTTCACATGAATTAGTCGTAGGCGGCTTCAACGCTGGAAGCTGCGGAGCCGGAGGAGGAGCACCAAGGGGGCGGAGGAGGAGGCGTGGTATGTAGGTAAGTATGTATGTATGTATGTACGTATGTATGTATGTATGTATGTATGTATGTATGTATGTATGTATGTATGTATGTATGTATGTATGTATGTATGTATGTATGTATATATGTGTGTATGTATGTATGTATGCGCGCATGTATGTATGTATGTATATATATATATATAAATGCATATATAGAGAATAGGCAATATTCTAATCTACTGCTACACTCACCAGAATTTGAATGCATTTGCATTTCAGTATTATCACATGGCTTTATTGCGGCTCCCTGTAAATTGCGCATGTAATTCGTTACGCCATTGTGCACGTCCATTTTACAGAAATTCCTAAAATCTCCATGGCACACAAGTGATTGGCAGGCAATGCGCATGGCCTCAATATCCAGATCCCCTTTTGGAAAGTAGTATCGGTAAGTGCGTGAAATACAGTCGAATCGTGCGCTATATGCGGGATTTCGCAGGGGCATCCAGGAGACGCACTGAATGTTTTTGGGCAATACGCGATTCAGCAGGCTGCAGTAATCAATTTCAGAGCTGAGCGCCTCAGGCTTCATTTGGACATCAGGCGCATGCTTGCTACGCAAATCAATGGATATCACTTGGCAGAAGGCGCTCACCTCCTTGTCGGTACGTCCGCATCGATGATAGTTTGAAGTGGCACGCGATTCGATCAGGCAGGTACGTATCAATGCACGAAACAAATACGCTTCTGCAAAATATATATAATTTTGTTGATTAGTAAATATATAAGTGTTAATCTGTGGTGCTCGCTGCACAAAGTTTATCGCGCGCGTAATTTTAATTTGTAAGCTTATATCTTTGGTTTCACGTGCGAATTTAATTAATGCTTTTAAGATTATAAGATATGAAGTAGATAAGAATAGGTATTTAAAATCTTCCCAAATTTCGTGCATCCGAACAAGAAGCGGCACGATTCCTTGCAGATATCTGGGTTTTTGTTATAGTAGTTATTTTGATGGATTGTTTGTTTTTATACCCTGAACCCATTAAATATGGGGACAAAGGTTATATGGGTTTGTGCTATTATATGTAGCAAGCAGAAGGAAGCTCCTCCGAGCCTATAAAGTATATATTCTTATTCAGCATCAATATCCAAGCTGGCCATGTCTGTCTGTCTGCGCAACTGTCTATATGAACGCGAAATTTGTAATGCAGGTCGTCCTAAGTTCCCCCTAGGTCCTCTTAGGTTTTGAGAGCTAGAGTCACCAAATTTGACATGTTGCTTGAATAGCATATACATCAAGTACATCAAGTACTTTTCATATCAGATATCAGGTGCCTGTACATGGATTGAGCAACACGGAAAACCTAGTTTAGACGAGTAAGGTTATCCTCCAACCCGTGTAATCTCTTAGCTAATCTTGCTTGTGAGGCCAACACTGAAAGGAAGTGATTGTATTGACTTGCAGCATTTGAAACTGATAAAATATGCTTTCTTTACTGTACGTTTACTCAGGGCATTTACTCCTCTCAAGTATTGGTACTCACCAATCGTATCCATTGAATCCTCCTGACACGCAAAGCCCTGGTAATCCCAGCCGAAATACATTACTTTAATCAGCACATGCCGCCTGTGTGCACTAAAATCGAATCGATAATTAGCAACATAGATTGCAATGAAACTTAAATTGCATTGGACTTACCTGTCCCAATTAAACTTACGTTGCTTGTCTTTCTTTCCCGATGTATCTTTCTCGGTGTCCTTCTGCTTTAATTCGTACTCATCATCTGTACGCAGTAGAGCTGCGTACTCACAATTGTTTTTGTCGCTCTCGGTTAGTTTCTTTTGTAAAAGGTTTTTGAGCTGAAAATTGTACGCCTCTAGCTGCACAATTTTGTCAATTAATTCCGTTTTGCTCAGCTGATCGAGCGCCTCACGGGACAAGCCCTTCACGCGTTTATTAATAACAACTTTCTTGTTCATTGTGCACATAAACAAATGCAACACGTGCGGCTCACAAGCATCCCATGATTCTTCATAATGTATCGATATTTTTTATATGAAACATTCCGATTATTTAGATTAGCTATTTATCGATCAAATTTCAAATTATACTATTACAATACTTCTAGTTTAAAATAAGTTATATTAAAAAAGCATGAAAATTGCGCAAACTTTTGAATGCGTACTCGTACAATTTCGTACATATTCCAAAGCATTATCCTGAATCCGTCATCTTAATTAATTGAACATGTTTACGCCGGCCTAATGTCTCAGTATAGCTCGAACGATGTTATTGGCTGATTTATAATGATTTATGCTGTAGATGCACCTATTATATATTGTAATAGAAACATACATTTATTTATTTATGTTCAAAATACAAATCTAATTAGGAAGTGCCTTTAAGGTATAATCGTTAGCATTTGAATTAGATTTAATAATCGAATACAATATGCTGGATACATCGATATATTTCCGATATCTTAAACTCTAATATATCGGCTGTGTTTAGTACTCAGTGTTTGTACAATTATATGCAGTAGTTTGGACATTAAATCTTAGACTCCTAAAAAAAAAGAAATTAAAAACCCTTAAATATGCTAGATGGGTGGTACTGTCGTTCCTTGGCTAATCAAAAGACCACATCCAATAAGACAGAGGGAGAGCATCTCGAAAGTGATGAAGAGGCACATACAAAACAATCAGCAGCAGTTTCTGAAGCAGCGCCACCGACAGCTGCAACAAGCTCGGCATCGACTGGCACAGCCAATGGAAATATAGATTATAAGGAGCGCTACAGAAATTTGAAGCGCAAATTGAAATTTCTCATCTATGTAAGTAATGATGCGTGTATTGGGAATAACATTTAATTGGTGTTGGTAGGAAAACGAGTATTTTCAGGACCTGCTACATACTAATCAACGACGCCTGCTGAAAGTGTCTCGTGACCGGTCGTTCCTGATTGATCGCCTGTTGTTATACGAGAAGCCTGCCAAGGACTCTAGTGACAGTGATGCGACTGACAGCTCCAATTCCGACGTGGAGCCTATAAACTCATCAGTAGCACAGGCGCAACCTGCCTTCGACTCGACGAAGGAACCTGTGACTATGCGGCGCAAGCATAAAGAAAAGGGAGCTGCAAATGTGACCGTTCCCACAACGCATGCAGGTGCCGTTGGTGGAGCAACACGTGGACGCAGGCGCAAGATTCCGACCGGCGGCTCTATTCAACATCAGCCGGCTAAGAAGCAGCTAATGGCCACGGCAACGGTGTCGCCCTCAGTGCAACATCAGCTGGCTGCAAAGGGCGCCTCTGGCACCTTGAGCACAGCAGAAATAACGCGCCAACTACAAGAACGTAGACCGACGCCCATAGAACTCATGAGTCCGGAATGTGCCTCCGCTACTGTTCCAGTTACAATGCTAAGCGATGAGAGCCCCTCTAAAATGTAAGCGGCTTATCGATTCAACGAAATCCATTACAAGCCATTTTTCTTTATCCAGCTATCCAAAGGAGAGCTTGCAACACCTCATGGAGGACGACTCACCCTCGCATGTTGCGGCCGAGGAATGTGTGCCAATGGTATACACAAATTGATGTATTTAAACAGACTGCTCACAGATGACAAAAATGCAACTTTTACTCGTTTGGATTATTAATAAATGTAATTAAAGCTATGTTTTCGCCGCGGACCACAAGTTGGGGTATTTCGCGGCGTAGCTGTACGTTTTTACGGTTTAGACTTTTCACATGCACTTCGGGCACTGTGATTCCCATTCGCCGTAGTCGGTTGCGGCATTCTTCTGACACAGGTGTGCTACAAATCTTTTGCTCGCCAAATTTATATTTGCGACGCTGCCAGACCTCAACGGCGTTTTTCAGCAGGAGGTTCCACTGTTTGTCAAAGGCCACAAGTTGCCCGTCGATATGGCCGCCAATAGTGTGTTCGTTGCGCAAGTAAACCCGCAGCCGCATCTGACCCAGCTTCTCCGGTGTTGGCAAATGTTTTTGCAGCAACGCCAACGGACCTTCGGCGCCTGCCATATGTGTGAAAAGATTGCGCTGGTATTTCGATTTAGGGACACCTTCAACTGGCATTTGATGGGGCTCAAAACGCCGTTCACTCGACGGCTCCCCGACCGCCGAAAAAGGATTTTTGCTGTTTGTTGCCTTTGGTGGCACATCGTTGTTTTTCTGCCGCTTGTTCAGTTGCCAAACGCCGAATTTTACAAGAGCACTTTCAAAAGCTGCCAGATTTTGATACAGAACTTTTGGCGCCCTTTCAGTGACTTTGAAATCTGCGGCGTAGAGTGCCCGGAGTGGATTAAATTTCTCGCTGCCCACATCCAGTTCCTCTGGCGTGTTGCTCTCCGCTTCTATATTTGTGTCGCTCATTATCTAGGTTGTTATACTGTAAACGAGCATAAAACAAGCATTAATGGTATTCCGCTTCTTTTTTTTGCTAATCATCAAGCCGATAGTCGATAATGATCTTGCATTTTGTCAAAGACTTCACAGCATATTTTGTGTAGAGATATCGATTTTGGAGAATATCTGGAGACAACAATTTTATTATATATACAACTTTTTAATATTTTAAAATCAATCAGGCGTAATTTGCTGTGTGCGTAAATGTAAATACATATTAGTAATTTCAATACAGTTGTAAAATTTAGAAGCAGGGCAGGGTATTTCCTAGTCGTTCATTCCCTACTCGAGGACTCCTGTTTACTTATCATGTTTTACCAGTTGCACTCAAGCCGGTTTTCTACGCATTGCAATGCAAAGCCTAAATTGAAGCTTGGTATGTTGCCCTCTTCCAATAATAGTATACATACACATGCACATACACATGCATATACATATACACATACATATGCATGTAATCGCACATATATACCGTATATTTACACATCAACAAAGCCGATTTTGTTTTTGTAGCTCTTTGCAGAGCTTTGTGAGCTTTTCTTTATTGAAAGAAAGCAACAATTGCGATAGTGCCATCTTAAAATTGATAAGTGGAGGAACGTACGATGGATCCAAAAATATCATGTAAGCTAATATAATTAAAAATATTGCAGTTTTAAGCGATATCAAAATGTTCATTGTGTCCACAGTGAACGGCTTGGGGCTTTCCAACAAAATGTTGATCGGCATGGGCGTCAGCCTGGTTGCTGCAGGTGGCGTCGGCTACTTGATATATCGTTACCTGCACCGGGATCCGATGCCCGTGAAATGGCGCCGTGTCGGCACGTTGCAGCAGATCAACGTGTTTCCAGTTAAATCTTGTGCTCCGCTGGTGCTCGGTGACCAGGAGGAGTATGAATGTGATGTGCTGGGCATAGGCAGGGGGAACGTGCGTGATCGTAAATTTATGTTACTCAATGATAATAACGAAATGATTACGGCAAGAGGTTACCCGCACATGCTTCGAATTCAACCCAAAGCGATCTCTAATGGCTTGATCTTCAGTGCACCGGGCATGCCCGATTTGGAATTGGACTTTTCAGATTTGGACACGCCCGCCAAGGACGTGCACACCTCAGTGTGGGGCGTCTCATTAGATGCCATGTTGTGCGGCAGCCGCTACGACAAATGGTTCTCAGAGTACATACTTAAAAAGGATTCGGGCTTGAAGCTTGTGTATTACCCATACCCTGTGCCAGTGCGTGCAACTAATCCCCGGCTTAAGAATATGCCTTTCATAACGCAGGATGATTCAGTAAGTACAATATGCATACTTAAACTATATTGAGATTTATGTGATCAAAACACATCTGCTAAGCTATATCAAATCGTTCCAATCCATCTTAAAAGATTTCTTGAAAAGTAACTTTGCAAAACTATATGTGATTTATTTAAATTCCATGAAACTCAGACGATTCCTTCATATGATTTCATTGTCTGTGAATATGTAGAGACCTTAAATAAATTTGGTTTAATTATTTTAAGGGCACCTTCAATGATGCAACCAGCTATATGCTTATGAATTTATCCTCGATCGATGATCTTAACACGCGCCTGAAGCGCCCCGTTGACCCGCTACAATTCCGCGGAAACTTTGAGTTGAAAATGGACGTTGATGAGCCGTACGCCGAAGACCACTGGCAATGGATACGCATTGGCAACGAGGCTATATTTCGTGTAGTTGCACCTTGCACACGATGCATTTTGCCGAACATAAATGTTCGTACGGCTGAGCGGGACATCGATGGTGAACCTCTGAAAACACTTCGCAGGTAGATGGGCAGTAGAATGGGGCACAATATGAATAACGCGCCTAACACCTAAACTTTTGCCAATCGCTTACAGCTATCGTTTGTTCGACTACCCCTCGCCAGCTATGGGATTACATTTGGGTCTCCGGAGTCCAGGAAATGTTAAGGCCAATGACATTGTTTATGTGGAAGACAAATAAACAAAGTGGACATTTTTTGAAATATACTTTATACATTCATGTTTATTAAATATAACAGAGATTATGATAGTACGAAAGTTAAATATGTAAATAAACATCGCTATGAACTATAACAATTCGAACTTTCGCATTGCGTCGGCCTATTGAATGCACGACTGCCAGGCAAGGCCACCGCAGGCCATGCTTACAATTACATAAATAATAAATATGATCACTAAGCCGACGACAAGGTAGACGCGAATATTTTTCCAAAACATTTGACGTGCCAAATTGCGCGACGCTTTGCGGAATGCAACTGACTAGTTGATAAAGATATAAATTCAATAATTTTTCCAATGAATTAGCCTTCAAATATACTTACATTGTTACTTAAGTTCTCTGTTTTATTGACCAACAGCTCCAGTTTCTCGCCCCGATCGCGCAGACTATCTGCGAAAAGAAACGCGAATGGTTAAAACAACTGAGAAACGCAATCGAATTTCAATGTTATATTACCAATATTCTTAATCATTATGTCTTTCAGTTCGTCAACCTGGCCATGTACACGGCTTAAGGTTTCCACATCTCGCGATTGACTATAGTATACCATTTGCTGGGACAGAATTTTGGAGAACTCCGTGTTCATTGCATAGGCAATTGCTGTGGCAACCTGTAGGCCATAAGTCTGTATAAATTTCTGCCTTATATCCGCCAAGAAGAGAAAAGCGCGTGGAAGTTCAAATTCCTGTGCATGGTAACAAAACAAAACGATTTACCATTTAGTTAGTTAATGTCATAAGAAATTCAACTTACGTTGTCGGTTATACACATGTAGATCAGCTTATTTTCGCAAGTGTAATGTATTAAATAGTCGCCGTGTGTGTAGGTCATTTTGTGATTGTGGACGCCAATCCTGCCCATAATTTGTTCCGTTACTTCGGCAAAATTGCCAACACATTCCGCAAACTTAGCCAGCACCGTCGTGCCACGGGCTATAACACTATATAATATCGGCATTATGTGGGTGTTGATGCGAGCAAGACCTAGTTTTCTTCAACCGCAATGGCGTGGTGAGTAATCCGACTTTATACTTCTTCTCTCGTATTGTGTTTTATCAGTACAACAAAAAAGAAAAACGCCTCGAAGCCGTAGCCAGAGTGTTGCTGCTAAATCAAAGAATTGATAATTGTAAATGTTTAAGAGTGTATACCATTTATGTGATTTTTCTGATTTTGAAACTTACCCTGGGAAAAATAAATATATAATTAAGAGTGAATGCACTGTAAAGTATTGTTTATCTAATATTTAAGCGATAATATGCGTCATATGTGTGCGTGTAAATGGGCAAATAAGTTAATTAGATCATATTTAGCGAAATTTTCTCAAAGATACTATTACAGCTTGCAAATGGAATTTCTACTGATTATTTTTTTTTGTCATTCCAATAACTATGGGACAAAAAAGCCTTTGTATTTTTTATAAATGCACTTGCACTTCATTTAATGATGTGAGTTTTGTTAAGATACACCGATAACCGGAATACTTTGTAATCATCGATACATTCGCCGATAGTCGATAACTCTCTTATTCAGCACGATATTATTATTTTCTTGTTATAACTTATAAGCGAAATGCAGATTCAAGGAAAATCCGCAAACATGACCACACGTCTTGCTTTGTCCTACCTATTTACCTACCTACCTATTTAATGAATTAATTATATGTTATGTCGAAGAGGGAATACCCTTATATAATATTGCACTCGAAAGCAACATGCTGCCTGTGCGATGGCGATTCCATCTGAGGATCAAAGGAATGATAAGAAGTTTTTGTGCCCAAAGATGATAGGTGAATATATTGGTGAGGACTCTTCGCAAAATGATGAAATCATACAATATTTATTAATATATATTTTTGCCACACTGCACACACAGACAACTGCATTCGCATTTTTATTGTTGTTTTCGTTGCCGATTTTATGCAGCGCTTGTTCTATATGTCAACTGAGTATCTTATCAATGGCCAGTACTACCTGCTTGAGGATCGTGCAATTACAATTGTAAAGCGCGCTTTTTCGTATCACCGCAAAGCAGTATTTTTGATACTGGGACTTGCTTTCGCCGGACTGGCGCGTTTTGGTAGCACCGGTAATTTGACGCCCTTGCTGCCCAAAAGCGCGCACCTCATCTACATACCACTTTACTGGATCTTTAGCTATGCCCAGCTGAGTCATAGTTCATTGAGCTATGCCCACTGGATTCGCGAATCCCATGGACTAGATTACGCTGCCGGGATGGCATCTAACTATTTCCATGGGTATCTAAAGCTCTCTTTGCCCGAACGCGGCCACGACGGCTTGCAGAAGCGCATGCAAGCATATGAGGACACTAATAATGTCAGATTCGGGCTGAATCGATTGATCATACTAATACCAGATGAAATGTTTGTCAAAGGTGTTATAGAGAGCAGCTTGCTAGAGAAGGCTCATGTAAGTTTTACCTTATGAATGGTTTTTATGTGCTATAGCAAACATTTTATTCTCGGTAGCCTTTGGAGACACAATTTATCAATCGGGCTGGTGTAAATCGCCCGTTCAAGCATGCGGTCTATAGGCTTACCAAGCAAATAAATGGCACAACTTACTACTTTGCCATGGAAGGAGCCACACCCATGTTATCATTTTTTGATTCCATGAACTTTCAACTGTCGGCCACCTGGCAAATGCAGGAAATGAAGCGCGAAATCTGGCTGAAGTTCTATAAACATCTGAAGGAGCTGTTGAACACCTGGCCGGAAACTCGACGCGAAGTGGAACTGATTATTTATAATTGTATGTGTTTATTATGCTAACAGTTTACAATAATATTTTTACTTACAGCTCATAAAACAAACGGAGAACCTGTAGACGTTGGTGAGATTCTTTACGCGCATGTTTTGACCCATTTAAACAACAAGAAAGTACTCAATTGAACTACTTTACTTAGGATAATGTTAAATGTAAAGGTATATGTTACGTGAAGTGAACAAAAATATATCTAAGCCAAAAGTGGTTATTATCGCTAAGATTAATAATGTATATCACCATTAATTGATATTCTCCTCCACTTTGCTTTCCGATTCCTTGAGTTTAGCTTCAGCCAAGGCTAACATTCGAGACTTCCATTTTTCATAGTCTTCAATCTCAGGAGTTTGACTACTTTTCTTGTTGATCACTGAATTCTCCTGTTGGAGGTCTAGTTTATTATTCAAGCTAGATCCGACGTTGGCTTCCTTGAGATGCTGTGCAATCATGTGCTCCCATTGCTGCTCAAGCTGCTGCCATTGAGTTGGACGCAAATTGCTAAATGGCAAAAGCTTTGGCTTCGACACTTTCTTCTTCATTAGACGACACGCCTGGAACACAGCCATTGCGGCGTATTGTGGATGGTCAGCGTCTGGATTCTCGCGCGCAACTTTTTTGAACAAAGCCAACAGCTCTTCAGCCTTGCGAGACACCTCGTTAAGGCTGAGCTGTACGCAAATATCGTTTACAGAGGCCAGTCTATTCAGATCAAGCAACTTTTCAAACATGCGCTTGTTATTAGCGTAATGACTTTTACGCAGTGCCGACAGTTTAAGGGCTTGCTCCTTGTCAAATCCAATTCCAAGCAAACATGACGCAAGGTCAGCGCACAAAACAATTTTCCCATACTCATTTATTTGTAGTGGAACATTTGTAGAGCGAAGCTCCAATAATCGTAGTAGCTCAGTTGTCTTTCTAATGTCCAGAAAATGTTTCAATAGCCAGAGATTTAAAGATCCATAATTATTATCGTTATCGTTATTATTAACCTACTTTTGATAATACTTACTCTAAAACGTTGGGCTCATCGTTTAGACCCATCTTCGAAATTAGCTGCTCAATTAATGTTGTCATTTTACAACCAAAACTATTTACTTCTGTTTAAGTGTTTACTTTTTTTGGCGCGAAAGTAACAGATGTGCAGTGCCACAGCGTTGCCACATTCTATAAAAAATTAAATGATCAAAATATAATGCTGCCATAGTTTCATAGTTTCATCTTAAGTGTTGAAAAAATATAAAATCAATAATATATCAGTTAATATATCCGTACGATAATTAATTGTTTGCCAACTTAACAACGTCTAACTGTACAAACGCATCTCTTTGTTTAAAAGTTAACAGTAATAACGGGAGTTAAGCTGACAAACGGATGGACATACATAATTTATTAGATACTCTCACATAAAAAAAGTTAGTTTATATGGGGAATGTAATTTCACTACATTTTCAAGCTAAACCTTATCTCAATCGAACCTCTGCATCATACACCGATTCTTAAAATTGCTACAAACTTTAATTTTGTTGTCATAGAATAATTATATCTTTCAAGCCTCCGAGGTATATTCAATTGTTTGATTTCTTAAATTGTAATTAACACTTTTTGAATGTAATTTATATAGTAATTAAATTAAATGATTATAAATTGGGCAAAATGGTTTCTGTATTTTTTGACATTTGCGAATTATAAAATATTATATAAAGCCGATTTAGAATCAGATGAACATATTTCAAATTTTCAACTTAAATCTCATTATCACCATCCGCTGTCTTTGCAGCTTTACCGGCTTCAATGGCCAATTGACTCCATGATGCGTGGTTGATGAAATGCACGCCATTCGTTTCTCTCCCAACTATGCCCATCTCAAAGCGGAAGTCTTTGTTATTTACCTCGTCGTTTACTTGATAAATGCTGAAATTGTAAATATGAAAGAAGTTAATAACCATAGTCTTGAGTCAATTGCGGATAAGGCATACATTTTACCCCCACTTTGCACCAATTCATCTGTGCTCATGTCGGCAAATTTATATTTTTCCATCTCTGTCTTTGCCTGTTGCTTGGCCTTGCCGCTGGCACATGCATAATAGCCAAAAGCCGTGCCGGAAGGCTCAATTTTATATAGCTGCGGTCCATCTGTCTCGTCCCACGAGGCAAATATTACAGACAATCCGAATGGACGCACAGCGCTGTACAGTGTGTATGCGTGGACGTAGGCGGCAACGCGATCGCATAAATGTTTTAGAGGAATAGTACGCTCGAATTGCTGACGGAAATTTGCAGCTTCCTGGCGAGCAATATCAGCCACAAAATTGCCATCGGCCATGAGTCCAGCGATGGCCATGCCAATATTCTTTTCAATGGTAAAAATGCGACGCGCTGCATCTACTTCGTACAGTTTGTCCACAACAATTTCTTCAACAGCAAGAACCACGCAGTCCTTGCCTCTGATACCAATTACGGTACCGCTCTTCTCCACAGCTTTGGATGCATAGTCAATCTGAAAGACGCGACCATCGGGAGAGAATTGCGATGCCGACAGATCATACTGCAAAAAGAAATGGCTTACGTCTGATATAATATTAATACTCTTTAATACTTACCCCAGTGCCAATTGTACTCATGGTTTTTTTTGGGAATTTGAATTTGACTTTGTGTTAACAAAACTGAATATATGAGGCAAACTTGCAAACAAGTAGGGACGATGATTTGACGGCTTTTCATTTGACAGCTGCAAATCATGCTCAGTGTTGCCAGTCTTTTCAATTTCGTTAAGTGTTGAGTAATTCGAAATTAATATTAAGATATATTGCAAACTGCTAAAATATTTGCCGATCAAATTAATGATGAAAGAAATCCCAAATAATTACACAGCCAAATGCTAATTTATAACACCAAAAAATATATATTATTCGGATAGTACTTGATCAAAATATGGGCAATTATGAACTAGTTCTTTTGGAATATTCCTTCCAGCTCCAATGCGCACGAGGTGGCCTTTTCAATTTTGTAAACAAAAATAACCATGCTCTCAAGTGTGGCTGAAAAAAGGTAAGTTAAGCATCAAGATCCCTTAGAATATAAATTATAGTTAATTATACGATTTTATTAAATGCTTTTCAGATATGCGGCCGAGGCTCGCTATACAAATTTTTATGCGGGAAACGATATTACCTGGAGTGAAAATGGGGAGCACATTTACTGCCTGAATGGCGACGTTGTCAATCGGGTGGATGTCGAAACATCTCAAATTGTAAGCAGCTTTGGGGTCAACGTTTCCAGCAAAAGTGAGTCTGTTGGGAATGCGGGTAAATCAAAAAACGCTGAGGGACTCGACGGTATTGAGGTGGACGAGGACAACATTTACTGCTTTGCAATGTCATCGGAGCATTTGGTTACCGCGCATGGAAGTGGCTTGCTCCGCTTATGGGAGCTTAGCACGCAAAAGCTGGTTAAGCTGTGGAAGAGCCAGCACAAGGGACCTGTTGTTCGAATTGAGTTCAGCACGTGCGGCAAGTTCATCTGCACGAGCGGCGGCGCAGATGCCACGCTGAGACTATGGGATTTTGCTAACAACAGTTGCCTGTGCGCTTTGAAAGATTTTCCTGGCCCATCGCTTGTGCTGCAATTCCACCCCAGTCCTTTAAAAACTGAAATCTATGCTGTTGGCGCCGATAACACGATATACTGTTGGAACTACGAGGCGAAGACATTGCTGTATAAAATGCGGGGACACATCTCGCAAGTAACAGGCCTAAGTTTCAGGAATGCAGCAGCTGACTGCAGCCAACTGGTGACAGTGAGTCGCGACAAAGTGCTCATCGTTTGGCAGCGGTCCGAGCAGGCGAGCAGCTGGATTCAGTCAAAAACTATACCATTGTACGAGGAACTGGAGGGAGTCACTCATATAGCGGATGGTGCACAGTTGCTGGTCGCCTGTGGCTCTGGCAAACTTCAGCAGATTGATACAAAAACGTGGAAAATACGGGATCTTTTCGTTAAGACAGAGTTTGAAATAAGCCGGTTACTTTACTGCAGCATGAAACAACAATTGGCGCTTATTACAACTGAGCAAAATATAATCATATATGATGTGAATACCGATAAGGAGAGTGCAGAGGTTAAACTAGTTAAGCAGCTGGTAGGCTACAATGATGAGATTTTGGATATGTGCTTTCTGGGGGACAAGGATCGCTACTTGGCTGTGGCAACGAACAGCAAGCACTTTAAGCTGTATGACACGGAGCAAAACATGAATTGCCGTCTGATCTCCGGGCACTCCGACACAGTCATGTCATTGGCCGCATCACATAATCTGCTCATCTCCGTGGGAAAAGATTGCAGCATACACCTGTGGAAGTTATCGTACGAGACCGATTGCCTCTTGGAGCCGCTTACCCAGCAAAGCAAATGCCACACGGCCAGCATTGGCTGCGTGGCCATCACACACAACGGCGCCAAGGCCTTTGCCTCCGCTTGCCAGGACGGCAGCATGAAAGTATGGCAGCTATCACGAGACAAGCAAGATCGCAACACATACGCGTTCTCTCTGCGTTACGCAGCGTTGGCCCACGACAAAGAGGTCAACTGCGTTACGTATGCACTTAACAATAAGATTCTGGCAACTGCCTCGCAGGACAAGACAGCAAAGCTTTGGAACGCGGACACAAACGTACTGCTCGGCGTGCTGAGGGGCCACACGCGCGGTGTGTGGTGCGTGCGTTTCTCACCCGTCGACCAAATTGTGCTGACCTCTTCGTCGGACTGCAGCCTGCGGATATGGTCAATTGCAAATTTCAGTTGTCTGAAGCGTTTGGAGCAGGAGTGCACCATACTGCGAGTGGAGTTTCTCGATCACGGCAAGTTTATATTGTCAGCTGCCTCCGATGGTCTGCTAAAACTGTGGAACCTTAAAACCAACATTTGTGTTCAGTCGATTGATGAGCACAGCGATCGCGTCTGGTCTGTGGCGGTTTCCGCGTGCAGTAACCGCTTCTTCTACACGGGTGGTGCGGATTCCAAGCTTATTCGTTTTGATGACGTCACTGAAACAGTGCGCAACGAAGCCTTGGACCAGCGACAGGCAATTTTGCAGCAAGAGCAGACTCTCCACTCGCTTCTGCACGCCCAAGAGCAGCTTGAAAAGGCCTTTAAGCTGGCCCTAACCTTAGATAAGCCAAAGGCCTCGTACGACATTATTTGCCATTTTATGCGCAAACGAGATGCCGCTGCTGTGCGTCACCTTGTGGATCAACTAAATATGGATCAGAGACTGGTCTTGCTGCAGCACGTCAAAGCGTGGGGCACCAACTCTCGCCACTCATATATTGCTAACCTGGTGCTGCAACATTTGCTGGGAGATGCTCTGCTTAACACTTCACAAAGGTTCTACAACAATGGCAATCTAGTAGAGGTTTTAACTCCCTATGTGCAGCGGCATTTCAAACGGGTTTCCGAGTTAAACAAGGATTTAGCTTTTATGGAGTTTATCGTCAAATGCATGTAAAATTACATTTCTTTTAATGATTTATATGATTGTGTTTTTAATCATTTTATTTAATTACTTCATCTAAACAACCCAAGCCGTAGGAGCTAGCAAGCTGAATAGAAAATTCGGATAAGGATTACATAGAGGGCAAGATTTTCTGGAAATTCTGGAATTCTGCGAGCCCATGCATTGTTCATCGTACTTTGTATTTATTACTCAAGCACCAATACAAGATCTTCACCCTCTAACTTCATACCTATCTTGACTTCCACTTTCTTCACTGTACCGGAATCTGGCGACTGAATCACCATTTCCATTTTCATGGCTGATAGCACGACAAGAGGCTCACCCTTGGCAACACTATCGCCTTCTTTCACACGAATTTCAATAACATTACCGGGCATTGGGGCGCCCACTTCACCTTTCACCGCCTTATTAGCTTTTGGATGCACACGGATTTCCTTAAAATATAAGTGAATAGCATAAATTAAATGGTACACATAGTCAACACCGTGTACCTACCTTCATAGCCACTTTATCGGGAATGTGCACAGAGCGCATCTGTCCGTTTAATTCAAAGAACACCTCGCGATTTCCGTTTGGCTTTAGATCTTCAGCCACAGCTAATGCCATCACGCTCAGAGTCCTGCCACGTTCCAGAGTCACTTCAAATTCCTCGCCCACTTTGGGCCCTGAGAGGAACATGCGAGTGTCGAGCTTATCGACAGGACCAAACTTTTCACGGAAATGCAGGAATTCATTGGTCACTTCCGGATATAGAGCGGCCGACATGACATCTCGGTCGCTAACGTCTCCGTGGGATTTACGCATTTCGTCATGTAGCTTGTCAAAATCAAATGCTTCCATCTCAGCACCTGGTCGCCCCTCAACGCGTGGCATATCCTTCAAAACACGCTTCCGGAAAGGTTCTGGAAAACCACCATGCGGAATACCGATGTAACCCTGTAGGTACTCAATAACCGATTTGGGAAACGAAAGTTCCTCCGCTTTTTCGACTACTTGTGCGCCAGTTAGTTTGTTCTGTACCATGAACTGTGCCAAATCACCGACAACCTTGGATGATGGAGTAACCTTTATTATATCGCCCAGCACAATATTGGCTTCTCGGTAGGCTTTCTTCACATCCTCAAACAAATCACCCAAGCCAAGGGAAAACGATTGGAATTGCAGATTGGTATATTGGCCACCGGGTATTTCGTTCAAATAGACATCAGCATTGCCCGAACGCATCGTAGTGGTACATTCGAACGGTCCGTACAGAGTGCGGGTTTGCTCCCAGTATGCCGAATACTCGGAGACGTCATTCAAGTCCATTTTTGTATCCAAAGGTGTGCCTTGCAGCGAGGCGACAACGGCTCCCATGCTTGGCTGTGAGGTCATTCCAGACATGGAGTCGACAGCAACGTCAACAACATCTGCTCCGGCTTGCGCGCAAGCAAGCATAGATGCAACACCAGCGCCCGAAGTGTCATGGGTATGGACATGAATTGGAACGTCTGGGTGCTTGTCTCGGATGGCAGTGATCAGCAACCTGCAATTAAGTATCCGCAAGTTAAACGAATATCTGGTGATCAATCCACATGGGCTTTTAGGAAATTCCACTCGCAAGCGTGGAATAATCATGTTGTAAAACACGGAAAATGGTTTTTAATTCCTCGACACAGCCGCACGGTTTCACAATCTTTTAAAAATAAACCGAAGGCGTTTGTATCGATATTTTGTATCGATATGTCAATTACATGTACAGGGTTGCATATGCGATAACTTATTTACCAGTGGATTTGTTCGAATTTCAATTCAAATTATTCCAAATTTTACAATGGAAAACGATTTAACGGTTTACCATCCGACCGATTAATAACTCATAATTAAATATGATTATTGCAATTAATTTTGTAGGTGTTTCTTTCTACTTCATAAGTATGTTATACTGCAGAAATTGATAATTTCAGCTGAATTTAAATACCTATCTAAAAGATGACTTAACATGAGAAGTCGGGATATGTTTAATCGTACCTTGCTGCCTCCGGCTTCAGTAGACCCGCCATGTCTTTAATGCACAGCACATGAGTTCCGGCCTTCACCAGCTCATCAGCCAAGTTGGTATAGTACTTGAGATCGTACTTAGTCTTCTTGGGATCACTTACATCACCTGAGTAGGAGATGGCCGCCTCTACGACTCCGCCGGCCTTACCTGCCGCCTCCATACCGAGGATCAAATTCGGCAAATAGTTAAGGGAGTCAAACACTCGGAAAATATCCATGCCAGTTTGCACCTACCCAAAAAAGAACAAATGTCTCTTATTATAGCAGTGCTGTAATTATTTAACATGCGGCTTAACATGCTGTTTAATCTGTACGTACCGCTAGTTCACAGAACTTGTAGACTACGTTGTCGGGATAACTGGTGTAGCCAACGGCATTGGCGCCACGCAATAACATCTGGAATGGTATGTTCGGAATGCGCTTGCGCATCTCCTCTAAGCGCTCCCATGGGCACTCGTGCAGGAATCGGAGTGCCACATCGAATGTGGCTCCGCCCCAATTCTCCAGTGAATACAGATTACTGAACTTGTGCGCCACGTATGGTGATATTTTCAGCAAGTCATGGGTGCGGACACGCGTGGCCATCAGTGACTGATGTGCGTCCCGAAACGTGGTGTCCATGAGCAGTAAATTCTTTTGGCAACGCACCTCCTTGGCAAATGCCTCGGGTCCTAGACATATAATGATGTCACGCAAACCTTCTGGCGGATCTGTCGCTGTGAAGAGCCCGATTGTGTTGGATATTTTAAATTTAATATTAAGTTAAGTTAAATGGCTGCAAGGGCATTAAATCTTCGGCGTGCCGAGGATATCCTTACTTTCTCGTTTACTCATTTTTAGTGGGTTCAGGGTATATTGGTTAACGGTCGCCAGCTAATAAGAATAATTCCATATTTATATTCAGAAAAGCGGACAATAAGCACCAAGAATGAATTTTCAATAACACTACCGACAAGATCACTTTTACTTGTACTAAGACTCTTCTAAGACATAAAAGTGTAGATTGTAATAGATCTAAGCGATGTATTATATATCGATAGAATAAGTAAATATATCGATGTTGGAAATAAGACAACATCGATAAAAGGAGGGGAGCCGGCTATAATGTTTGAGCGGTTAAACTGAGTGGACATTAAGAAAGGTAGTAGAATAAATGTAAAAAAAGAGAAGCAGAAAGGTATTCGGACTTTACAGAAGGTCATTCGAAGAGTTAACTTAAACAACAGACTGAATGAAATTACTTACCCACTGGTGTTTCGGGTACATGAGGATGAATCGCGGACGGCTTTAGCGTTGTGGCCAATGGCGTTTGTGGTCCGTTTACCAACACTTCACCCAAGTAATTCAAAAGTTTTTGGGCACGATTCGGCGAGGCAACGAATTGAAATAGGTCCGGATGCTCATCTATGAAATATGTATCTAGTACACCGTTTAAGAATTTCTCGTTCTCAAGAACATTCAAGAGAAAGGGAATATTCGTTTTGACACCACGAATACGGAACTCCCGCAGTGATCGGTCCATTTTCGACGCTGCACTTTTCAGATCACTGGCATGGGATATCACCTTGACAAGGAGCGAGTCATAGTAGGGCGATATGATGGCTCCAGCATAGGCCGAGGCGCTATCTATACGAATACCCATGCCTTCGCCCGAACGGAAAACTTCTATACGTCCAGTGTTAGGTTGAAAGTCGTGGGCAGGATCCTCTGCAGTCACACGACACTGAATGGCAACTCCACGGGGAACAATATTTTCCTGCGTGAGTCCCAGCTCCTTAAGTGTCATACCTTCGGCAATACGTATCTGAGCCTGAACCAGATCTATTCCTGTGATCTCTTCAGTCACCGTGTGCTCCACCTGCAACCTGGCGTTCACTTCAATGAAGTAAAACTCTCCACACTCGTCGCATAGGAACTCCACAGTGCCAGCGTTCTCGTATCCCACATGCCTGGCTAACCGTAATGCCGCATCAATTATCTGATCCCGGACTTCTACAGGAAGGTGTGGGGCAGGTGCGATCTCAACTACTTTTTGATGCCGACGCTGAACGGAGCAGTCGCGATCATATAGATGTATAACATTTCCAGCCTTGTCACCTAACACTTGGATTTCAACGTGGCGTGGCCGCTCAATAAATTTCTCAATGAACATTTCTCCGTTGCCGAAAGAGGCCAATGCCTCGTGGCTTGCGCGTTCAAAACTTTCTTCGACTTCCTCCATTTTTTCCACAACACGCATGCCACGGCCTCCGCCGCCGTGTGCTGCCTTGAAGATGACAGGAAGTCCATGTTTTTTACAGAAAGACAATGCGTCTTCTTTGGATGTAACTGCTCCAATTGAACCTGGCACAATAGGAACATCTGCTTCACCCGCCGCTTTGCGAGCAGCCATTTTGTCTCCCATGTTCTGCACCACCTCAGGCGTTGGACCAATAAATATAATCCCAGCATCGATAATGGCCTGTGCAAAATCACTGCGTTCGGAGAGGAAACCGTAGCCGGGATGCACTGCGTCAATGTCGTTCTCCTTGCAAACGCGAATGATCTCAGGAATACTCAGGTAAGCTTCCACGGGCGCAAGGCCCTTGCCGACCAAATAGGACTCGTCGGCTTTCTGACGATGCATGTGCATTTTGTCCTGCTCCGAGTACACGGCCACAGACTTGATGCCAAGCTCAGAGCAGGCGCGAAATACGCGTATCGCTATTTCGCCTCGGTTGGCTACCAGCACCGACCGTATGGGTTTGTGCTCCGCCTGTTATCAAAGATTTCGCCTCACTATAAGCTGTGGATAATCTGCTTTCAATATACTTACTTGACAACAGTAGGTATTTTTGAAAAAATGGTAAAGCTTCAAGCGAGGACCTGTTTTGCACAGCGTCTTCAATGCGGGCGAAGAATCTGATATTACCATCGTGCGTTAGAGCTAAGAAGCAGAAATTTTCACTGTAGTTACTTTATGTGATGAAGGTGAGCGTTAGGACGGGGTTTCGGGAAATTCCACCCGCAAGTGTGGAAAAATCGCGAAAAACGGAATTGGGAAATTCCACCCGCAACACTGGGAAATTGGCGAAAAACATTTATTTATACGTGCCACAGGCAAGACCGGGCTATACCCGTCTCCAATATTTCATTCATGAAAATAGTAGGTTTTTTTTTGTCTGGATAGGTTGTATGGAAAAAAAGTATTCCAAAAACTATCTATTACATAAAGGCGATGAAAAGAATTGCGTTCATGCAGACGAAATTTTTTTTGTTCGATTTTATTTTTAAGGATCTATGCAACGGTTTACGCAAGTTGAGTCTTCCAAAATTGTTATATTTGCTAATACACTAAAAGATAATCACGACATAGATATGATCATTTTACCGTTTAAGTAAAAACATGCAGGTGCCACAAACCTTTTAAAAATAATGTCACCAAAAACCTAAAATTTTGTTGCTTTATCTCTATGTTCTTGGAAAATGTTGTTTGCAAATTTAAAAGATGTATTTAAAATTTTTAATAATAATTGTCCCGAACGTTTGAATGAACAAAAAATCTAATTTTGACTACATCTACAGTGATCGTGACAAAAAAAACAACGAAAGGTTGTATTAGGTAATATTTAGAATTAGAGCAGAGTTTCGAAAGATTATGGTAAAGCGTAAGGGTAAGGGTTTTTTTTTAATATTTTCTTTATGAAATAGATTGGTGTATTTTTTTCACAGACTAGCGAAAAAACTTCTCTTATGTGATTGCTTCCAAGTAAAATTCAATTTAGAAAACAATTCTTATGAAATTTCATTGTTTATTCACACTTTTACATTTGATAATCATATTTTAACATTGATACAAAGTTTGGCAAAGGCTTCTCTAATACAAACTAAAAATTGATGTTTAACAACAATTGTTTGTGCGCGACTTTTTACTCTAACAAGATTGTAAACCCTTTCAAAAAGTAGTGCCAATATACACACGTATATACACATGTACTCATGTAAACATAAATACATAAAAATGAAAAGACTTAAGACTATAAATTTGTTGGCAGCATGAACAGATGACAGCACGCTCTTTAAACATAAACATTTGGACGTCTTTATCGTGGACTGCATTTATTCAATGATCAGAATTAAGTCATCGCCGTCCAGTTTCATGCCTTTCTTGACTTCCACTTTCTTGACAACGCCGGATTGCGGCGCCTGGACCACCATCTCCATTTTCATGGCTGAAAGCACAACAAGAGGCTGGCCCTTTTCGACTTTATCGCCTATGGTGACGCGCACGTCTATGACATCGCCTGGCATGGGGGCGCCCACTTCACCTTTCACCGTCTTATCTGCCTTAGGATGGATGCGGATTTCCTGAAAAGAAACGTGCGCATTGTAAATTATATGTTACTGATAGATAGCCACGGGTAGCTACCTTCATAGCCTCCTTATCGGGAATGTGGACGGAGCGCAGTTGTCCGTTTAATTCGAAGAACACCTCGCGTTTTCCATTAGTTTTGAGATCGGCAGCCATGGCCAAGGCCTTCACGCTCAGAGTCTTGCCACGCTCCAGAGTCACATCGAATTCTTCGCCCACTTTGGGGCCTGTGAGGAATATGCGAGTGTCGAGCTTATCGACGGGACCAAATTGCTCACGGTAATGCAGAAATTCATTGGTCACTTGCGGATAGAGAGCGGCCGATACGACATCGCGGTCGCTTACGTTTCCGTGAGATTCACGCAGCTCTTTTTTCAGCTTGTCAAAGTCCAATGGAGCCATCTCAGCACCTGGTCGGCCTTCAACGCGTGGCATATCCTTCAAAACACGAGACCGGAATGGTTCTGGAAAGCCGCCATACGGAATACCGATGTAACCCTGTAGGTACTCAATCACCGACTTGGGAAAAGAAAGTTCCTCCGCTTTCTCCACGACTTGAGCGCCAGTTAGGTTGTTCTGTACCATGAACTGTGCCAAATCACCGACAACCTTGGATGATGGAGTCACCTTTATTATATCGCCCAGCACAATATTGGCTTCTCGGTAGGCTTTCTTCACATCCTCAAACAAATCACCCAAGCCAAGGGAAAACGATTGGAATTGCAGATTGGTATATTGGCCACCGGGTATTTCGTTCAAATAGACATCAGCATTACCCGAACGCATCGTAGTGGTACATTCGAACGGTCCGTACAGAGTGCGGGTTTGCTCCCAGTATGCCGAATACTCGGAGACGTCATTCAAGTCCATTTTTGTATCCAAAGGTGTGCCTTGCAGCGAGGCGACAACGGCTCCCATGCTTGGCTGTGAGGTCATTCCAGACATGGAGTCGACAGCAACGTCAACAACATCTGCTCCGGCTTGCGCGCAAGCAAGCATAGATGCAACACCAGCGCCCGAAGTGTCATGGGTATGGACATGAATTGGAACGTCTGGGTGCTTGTCTCGGATGGCAGTGATCAGCAACCTGCAATTAAGTATACGCAAGTTAAACGAATATCTCTTTAAAAATGTTTACCCTGACTGACTGACTGACTGACTGGTGATCAATCCACGTGGGCTTTTATGAAATTCCACCCGTAAGTGTGGAATTATCATGATGTAAAACACGGAAATTGCTTTTGGTTTTTCATTTTTCGACGCATCCGCACGGTTCCCTAATCTTTCAAAAAATGATCGGTTGCTTATTGAAATAACGATACATTCCTTCGGTATGTATCGATATATCAATTACATTTAACAGGGTGACATATGCAATAACATATATATGTATATGTGGATATTTAACAGTGGCAATATCTTATTTAACAGTACAATGGAAAACGATTTTTGTTTACCATCAGCTTCTAACACTTTTCTCAAAATTAAGGGAAAATGTTAATTCCTAGTGCATTTCAAATACCTATCTAAAATACAACTTAACATGTTAAGTCGGGATATGTTTAATCGTACCTTGCTGCCTCCGGCTTCAGTAGACCCGCCATGTCTTTAATGCACAGCACATGAGTTCCGGCCTTCACCAGCTCATCAGCCAAGTTGGTATAGTACTTGAGATCGTACTTAGTCTTCTTGGGATCACTTACATCACCTGAGTAGGAGATGGCCGCCTCTACGACTCCGCCGGCCTTACCTGCCGCCTCCATACCGAGGATCAAATTCGGCAAATAGTTAAGGGAGTCAAACACTCGGAAAATATCCATGCCAGTTTGCACCTACCCAAAAAAGAACAAATGTCTCTTATTGTAGCCGTGCTGAAATTATTTAACATGCGGTTTAACATGCTGTTTAATCTGTACGTACCGCTAGTTCACAGAACTTGTAGACTACGTTGTCGGGATAACTGGTGTAGCCAACGGCATTGGCGCCACGCAATAACATCTGGAATGGTATGTTCGGAATGCGCTTGCGCATCTCCTCTAAGCGCTCCCATGGGCACTCGTGCAGGAATCGGAGTGCCACATCGAATGTGGCTCCGCCCCAATTCTCCAGTGAATACAAATTACTGAACTTGTGCGCCACGTATGGTGATATTTTCAGCAAGTCATGGGTGCGGACACGCGTGGCCATCAGTGACTGATGTGCGTCCCGAAACGTGGTGTCCATGAGCAGTAAATTCTTTCGCGAACGCACCTCCTTGGCGAAAGCGTCGGGACCTTCGCGCACGATGATGTCGCGGAGACCTTGTGGGGGCTCTGTCACTGTGGGAATCCCCGATAAATTTGGCTCTTAGTTTGAGGTTATGTACTATTTATCGATACATACATGTTAAGATAAATCAAGCTCAGATTATTTACAAGTAAACGTAAAATATAACTTTCATCCACCGTGTTTTACCAAAACTTAACAAACAAACCGACATACATATGTGTATATAAATTCGGGTTTTCTTGTAGATAGCATGTTGGTGATAACATATTAACTTAACGCTGTTCAATATTGACAACAATGAATGGCAATGAAAGGGTCTCGATTTTACTCATCTCTTCTATATTAATAAGGTATACAAATTGCATATTAAGTAAATATTTCTTTGCTAAGCATCAACAGCTGAGTCGATCTACGCAGTGTTTCGAAACGTAAGGTCCTAATTAGTTTTCAAGCTGAGTGACGAGTTTGCATAGAAACTAGGCTGTTGATACTGATAGGTTCGGCTTATCAATATTTTCTATCAAGTGGCTGGTATACATTTAAAAAGAAATTACGAAAAGCTGTAATATGTACAAATAACTTAAAATAAACAGAAACATACAAATAAGTGTTCATGTGTACATCTACTCGTTAAGTATTCTCTACCTAGGGCTGAAAACTAAGCCCGTTAAATCCCAAAATTCCCATTTGTATTCACCATCAACCGAAACTTAAATCGGATTATTTGCTTTATTGAAAATAGTTTTGCATTTTGTTTTAAATGCGGGGAATAGTGATATTTCATATATTTAGCTAACCCGCCTACGAACCCTGAACCGAAACACCGAAAATTTTAATATTTAGTAAGGGAATTCAAAACTCCGAAGATCGTAATGTTAATGTAAGGCAATTCGAAACTCCGAAAATTGTAATGTTAATGTAAGGCAATTCGAAACTTCGAAAATATTAATGTTAATGTAAGGCAATTCGAAACTCCGAAAATTGTAATGTTAATCTAAGGCAATTCGAAACTCCGAAAATTGTAATGTTAATCTAAGGCAGCTATCCAAGGACCGGAAATCATCTAATTACCTTGTCCAAGTTCTATGATATCTATAATATTCTAATATGCGTATACTATATGTAAATGAGATAGCCTGGATCTGAGCTTATAAAACAATTATATGTACATATGTTGACATTATCTGATGAGAAATAAAGAAGTGCACTTAAACGTACCTTTTGCCCCGCCGCGCTTTTCACGTTCTAAGGCTTCCGGGGACAGGTCTTCATTGGTATGATAATCATGACAACATTTCGTTTATGAACAAGGTGTAGCACGTGTGTTTGTTGTTGTTGTTGAAACATAAGTAGGTGTGTGTGTGTGTGTGTGTGCGTGTGTTGTAGTTTTTGGAACGATTGCGTTTGCATATGTAATTTGTTTCAATTGCAAATTTGATAAGAAATAAAGTAAAAAGAAATGCAAGAACATAAAGTAAACATATTAATGAACGCATAAAAACAAGACAGAGCACCTATCTTCGGCACACGACATTTAAATGACCCTTGCATACTAATTAAATATAAGATATTGCTCCTGACATTTCTGCTAATAAAAGTCTTCGATTCGAATAAAAATATGCCATATTATTTATTTCAATTAAATTGGCGTCAGCTAGCTTCCATAATAGACTCAAATAGATTCTTTTCTTTCGCGTTTAATCATCATATTTTCAGAAACAATATAAGAAGCTCTCATTCAAGAACTCTCTTTAAATTATATCATTGAACCCTTATTAAACCCTTTTATAAGACAAGTCATAGAAATCTCATTACCCTTTAAACATATCGCTCGGTTGCACAAAAGTTTTAATTTCGAAAATCTGGAATGACTCGAGCATAATAATATTTAATAAAATCATGCTATAAT